GAAGTGATAATGACCATTTGGGGTTGAAAAAGCCGTTTTCATTTTGTCCCTCTCGTCCATAGGGATCTGGTGGAATCCAGAAGCTAGATCAAGGACCGAGAAGTATTTAGCACCTCCCAATTGGTCCAAAATATCAACAATATGGGGAAGGGGGTAGGCGTCTGAAATAGTCTTTTCATTTAAATTCCGAAAATCTATCACCATACGCCACCGTTTATTCCCAGCTGAATCAGCCTTTTTTGGCACGATCCAAATGGGTGAATTATATGGGGATGATGAGGGCTCGATTATATCTGAGGCGAGTAATTCTTTAATTTGTTTCTGAATTTCCTCTTTGTAAATTTGAGGAAATCTGTACTGTTTAGTGGAAATTGGAATTTCGTCTGTTGTTGGGATACTATGAGTCATAACATTTGTGCCCTGTAAGCGATCACCTGGAAGCTGGACTTGATAAGGGTATTTTCTAAACACTTTAATTATACTTTGTCTTTCTTCTGAATTGAGATTTTCTAAATGAAGGCTATCTTCAAGTCTCTTCATCCGTTCCTCTACAGACTCACTTTCAAACGCAAAACCGTTAAGTCTTAATCGGTTTCTCGGAATAACTCTCTATTTCTTCGATATATTGCGCTGGAATATTGAGTTCCTGTTCCTCCTCGTTGCAATTAATTATAAATATCCAAGCTATCCCATTGTTGTTTGTTACTAGCGACTCTCCTGCATATAAATTTGGGCCTAAATTCAACCTCGGTAAATATCCCTCTTTTAATTCATCAAAACTTTTATCCCCACTTTGGTTTTGCAACGAGCAGGAACTGTCACCCTTGTTTGCAATAATGGAATTGTAATTCCTTTCTCACTCACTCGCACACAACTATCAGAAAAACACAATGTTGCTTTCTCATCTCTCAAAAATTGTGCACCTAAAATACCATCATACTTGATTGGAAAATCTGCACGAATAACTTGAAATCTACATGTAATAGAGTCAAACGTGATTTGAACTTCGCCAACTGTTTCATCGGACCCTGGGGTTATACCTGTTAATACGAAACGTTTACTCCTATCAATTTCAACGTGAGGTTTCAATAAGCTCTCTTTTATCAGATTTATATCTGCCCCAGAGTCAACTAAGAGTCAATTCCTCATATTCAATAAATCATCACTAGTAATTGTTACACAAGGAGAAGCTTGTTGATCGGCATGATTAATGTTGATCGATGCCTGCTGAGTTTGAATTTGATTGTTTGATTGAGAAGAATGTGTATTAGTATTACCAAATTTGTTTGAAGAAGTTCGACATTTCATAGTGGAATGCCCAGTTCTTTTGCAATTAACGCAATATCCCGGCTTAAATTTACTGTGACATTCACTCTTCACGTGACCTACTTTACCGCACGCGTAGCAAATAACTTTTCCAAATGTTTTTTGATTATTAGTTGACATGACATTGACTTCAGCAGAAAGTGGCTTGTGTGTTCGATTTTGTGAATTGTACGGCCCGTGATTTTTGAAATGATTTTTGATGACTTTGTGAATGTTTTGAAATTTTATCCTGTTCGTGTTTGAAAATATCATTGTGTTTTTCGATTTCTTTCTCTTTCTCAATCGCGATTTTAACAGCAGCTTCGAGATTAGCTGGCTCTTTATTTGAAACATACGTACTAAGTTCACCCCTTAAGCCTCGAATGAAACTATTGCGAGCCCCCTCGTGTGTGCCTGCAAGGAGCCCTACTGAAATTTCACTGGAATACTTTTCACGATTCATCTCTACAATTCCTCGCACTACAACTTTGATTCTCGCAACAAAATCTACTATTTTCTCATTGGGTTTTTGATGCATTTTTGAAAGTAATCCTTGCCACTGAGAGAGCGTCTGGCAAGGTGCAAGAGCCTGTTTTAGATTTGCAAAAATGTCCTCGAGATTTGAAGTTTCTTCATCAACATATTCACTGGCCGTCCCGGAAATTCTCGATTTAATTAATTGAGTGAGGAAAATGTGATGTGAGGGAGATGCAAGCGCGATTGCTTGTTTGCATAAATTAATGAATTTGTTTAAAGGCATATTCTGGCCATTGAATGTTGGAATCAAACTAGAAATGTCTTTCAATGACATAGTGGACACAGAAGGCTGAATGTTCTGACTGATCGAACTCGTTTGACTCCTAGGTTGTGACAAATTACTAAACAAATCATCTGAACTGTCTAATGTGACATTAACACTTGAATGATTACTTGTTGATGGTGCAGATTCTCCTCTCGTCTTACCACGTCTATTTCTTGTAGGTGCCATTTTTTAATTTTACTAAAAATTCTAATGAATCTATTGGCTTCTCTCTTCGCAAAATATAATAACTAAATTTCGTGTGCTCTCTCTAGGTATGGACAAGGTGCGGCCTATAATCAGGTGTATCTCTCTGAAAACTCAGGAAAACTGCAAAAAACCTGACCAATACCCTGAAATGTCCATCCTCTAAATAATATTTATTTCTAGACTTACAATTTTCTCTTTACAGCTAATCTAAAGGAAATACTATTTCACTCTAATTTCCCTTTAATTTCACTTTTAAATTTCACTGATTGCCCATAAAATTTTCTATCACTTGACACTTAATTCTGCCTGACGGGTCTTCCTGTCAACTGCTTGGCTGCAACCACCCTGGACCTCTTGACTGCAACGACCTTGGACCTCTTGACTGCAACCGCCGGAACTTAATATCATCAGTAAGATGATTTTCTCGAATTTTCAAATTTCAATTCAACGTTCGATGAATGCGGCTATCCCACCGCTGTCACCAATTGTTATGTCCTATCAATGTTACTAGGAGGACAGTGGCGCCTTTTTGAAATAACGAGCGCCAAACTTCGAAATGTGGATCCGTTAGCCGCTAAACCTCTGATGAGGACTCCATCGATGTTGACTCGTTCATTTTTTGAATAAATGGGTTGAAGGTTTATTCCAGAATAAATCAAAACCACTAGTGCTCAGGAGAGCACATTAACACTATTTATTTCAAACTTCTAATTTAAAATTGAAAACTTTGGTAGACAAATACACTTGATAAAACTTTTATGGAAAACTTTAAGAAAAACTAATCGAAGAGAGAAGCTGGAACAGTTGTCGGAACAACAGCCACGATGGGACTGTCTCTAACTTAAACTAAAAATCTAAGGGTTGGGTCCATACACCCCCACTAGACCAAAAGTTGCGCGCGCAATCTTGGCCCGGAGTAAAGGGAAGAGGGGTAACTTAAAAGAGAAATCGGGAAGCGAAAGAGGGAGAAAGGGGAGCGTGTGACGTCAACAGTATTCCCTCTTGAGGGGTCTCAGGCCCTTCAGCTCCGCGATACAATGAACAAAGGAGAACTCAACACTCAACACGTGTGGAACACGTGAATCAGAGAGACTTTCTAAATATCTCAGAACCGAGATTTAACAATTTTACGACCGTAACCGTCGAGTTTATTTTCTCTCTATATTTCAGAATTTCAAGAAAAGTATTGTTGTGAGGAATTTTGGAGAGCTGTAAATTTACGAAGTAAACTCAAGTACTTGACATTTATTATTTCCGGCAACGGTTTTTCTCACTCCTGCGGAGTTGTTCTTCGTCCCCTATTCATTGTCCTTTCATTCTCGACTTTTCTCAGTATTTAAAGATTTTACGTTATTTAATTAATTTTTTATATTAATTTGAATATCGCGGACAAAGATGGCTGATCATTGCTACCAACCATCAAAATCAGCGTCAAGACATCACAGGCAGGGTTGGGTAATATGGCTAGTCCTAGGCTTTTTTACGTTATATGTAAAATACCCGTATCTTATGTAGATAATGTACAAAACGTAATATACCGTATATTACATTTCGGAATTGTGGTGCGGATGTATTTTACGTATTATATATTCATTTGATGTATAAAATGTAATTAATTTATGAGTGATGAAATCAAATTGGAGACGTTAATTAGAAGATTAATGCTTCCATCTACCGTCATTATTTGGTATGATCGATGGCCTTCTTATACTGTAGTATGTTCCATCGTCGGTGAAGCAGATAATAAACACTTCCAAACCCACGTGTATCGTATAATTGTTGATTCTGTCTTAATAAACCGGTAAATTTTACGGCAAAGCAACGCGTAGTGCAACTAGTGAACACATAATTGGTCGAAGGAGTGGATTTTGTTCCAAGGATACGATGAGTCAATCAAAGCGAAACAGTTCAGTAAGTAAACAGTGGGAATGTAATTCAACTGAATTAATGTGGATCTTTGCAGTTATTGATATTCTAATGAACAGGGACTCATCATATCTTCATTTTCACAGGCAAAAAGATCAACTCAGTCTTTAGTTCCAAAAAAAACACGATTGGATGCACAAAAATCTATGGAACTTTCACAACTTTCCACAGATGATGAAATTGACACTGCTCCAGCGACTTTTTTTTTTTGATGCAACATCTCATTCAATGTGGTGGAATCTCAACATTTCAAAAACTTCGTAAGCCTCTTGCACCCAAGTTATAAACCTCCAACAAGGAAAACACTATCTACAAAGTTATTGGACAGGGTGCATCAACGTGTTGTCGAAGAGCGCATCTCTTGTCGAGGTTCTGAAGGTGTTTTGCTCATTGATGGGTGGACAAATTCATCGGCTAATACCAAAAATGTCGTCTGTACGATTCATACAGTGAATTCCAAAAGTATTTTTCTAAAATCGTGGGACTTGACTGGCATAGGAGAAACAGCAGATCAATTGAAAAACATCGTTGAGGAAGGGATCGACTTGGCAAAGGTGAAGTTCAATATCACAATTTATGCTGTTGTTTCTGACAATGCATCAGCCATGGTGGCGATGGGAAATAAAGTGAATATTTGGCACACAACTTGCCACAGTCACAGTGGGAATTTACTAGCGAAAGCTTTAGTACTTAAAGAATTGACACAAAAAGTGAATAAACTTTTACGAGAATTCAAAGCTCCTGGGGCTGAACATCACTTGAAAAAGCTTGGAGGCTCTAGGATTATCCTAGCAGGTGAGACTAGGTGGTGTAGTTACCGAGATGCATTCAGGTGCCTTTCCAAGAATTTGCACTTCATGAAGACACTAATTGAAACAAAGACGATCACTTTGAGCAAGGAAAGTGAAACTCTATTGAGAGATCCCTCATTTGAGTGCGAGCTTCTAGATAACATTCTAATTTTTGATCCAATATGTGAGTTGATGAATGTTTGTCAAGGATCGCATTGTAGTCTATCCGAAGGGTGCGAGGAATGGTTAAAATTGGCTATACCCACTGTTAACAATGATTTGCAGGAATTGTTGGAAAAGCGATTCAAGAAGGTCTTAACACCAATTATGTTAACTTCTAATTTTTTAAATCCTAAATACCGAGGTAAGAGATTCATCAATGACGAGGAAAAAATGGCGATGGTCACTCACTTCATAATGCAAGAGCTGAACTTGGATAAAATAACTAAGGAGTCAGGTTTCTTTGCATACCAGAATAATACCAACATTTTTAAGAAATTGATGGAACGAAACATGGATCAAACACCTGAAACATTGTGGACTACAGCTGCTCCATTCTACCCTGAGCTATCAGCTCTCGCAGTTAAGCTACTGAGAATCCCGGCAGCCTCAGCACAACTTGAGAGACTTTTCTCCTCATGGGCTTTTGTGCACTCCGATCTGCGGAATCGTCTCACAGTTGATAGGTCAATGAAGCTCGTGGATATTTACTATTCTTTGAAGATGAATGAACTCTACGAGCACTGTTACGACGATTTAATGGACTCAGATTGATGGTTAGAATAACTTCAGTGTTTTTCTGTTATACTTCTTGAGAAGAGTGTGAAAAATCGTGTGGATCAATAATCTTTAAATGACAATTATTCAATTTTTTGATCAATATTTGACGATTATCTCGAGCCATTACAAATAACATGTAAAAATATTCGTATTGAACCAATTTTATTTATTCAGTTTATAGAAATCATTCTCCACTCCACTAATAACGTTATAAACTTTGTTTATATATCTTTTATATCACATGAGTGAGAATGATAATAGAACAAGAATAATAATAATATAGTTACTAATTTGAAGACATTCAGAGTAACAAACAAAATGAACAGATGAGCTGCATGAAGTACTCTCAGTCTCCTCAAATATTCAAACTATAGAAAATATCTTTGAGCTTGTCCATACGAATGGGAGTTAAGTTATTTGTATTCGTTGGGTGTGCTTTTATTTTGGGTACTGCAGCAGGTATTCGTAGAAGCTTGAGTGCGAAGGTAGATAACTCTGGATGCAGCGATGAAACTGCCTGCCAGAAGGTTTTTGGATTTGTATATTTTTTCAGTCGACTAGAATCGAAAATCTCTCGTGACTCTCTGAACTTGGAGAAACTAGTCATTCCTTCTGGCTCAAGTGTCTCGATTAAAAACATCATCACTTCCTGCATGACAGTATGGTCCTTCTCAAATTGTTGTCCTCTGTAAAATGGATGGAGTATGTTGCTTGTCAACATAATGGGAGAAAGTAGTTTGCTGATTTCACTTTTAATCGAATCAAACTTGTCAGAGGACAACAGCGTCAACCATTCCTCTGCAGCGTCAGAAATCATCATACTTTCTCCTCCACACTTCTTCATCAGAGAGTAGAGGGGCTCCAACGACTTCATCGTTTCATCCAGTTTTTCTTCAAAGTCTCGATCAAGTAGAATATCAATCACTTCTTTTTTCAGCTGAAATTGTCTATCGCCTATAACTTGGGTCATGAGTCGAAGATTATTCAAACAGGTAGAAAGCAAATTCCACCGGTAATCATGAGTATCGTTTTTGATCTGGATGAAGACTCCTCCTCGTGCAATTAATTCTTTGTCCATCCCAGAAACTAAGAACTCGTTAAGCAAATACCTCACTTTTCTCAACAGTACCATATCGATAATTTTTGATTCAACTGATGCAGCAAAGGAGATGTTGCATTGCAGTAACCAAATGTCGTCGAATGTCTCTCGATCAATTGATTCAACATCATCATCAATCATCACAGCATAAATTTTACCTTTTAATCTTGTTTCAGCAAGACCGACAGCTTCACTGATAATCATTGAAGAACTTAATCCTGCTGCATGCAACTCCCAAGCTTTTAAAAATGTAGTTCTCTGATGATCATGGATCATAAAGCCAACCAGGTGTAGTTTCCCTTGAATCTTCGTTTTATTCAAGATCAATGAACCGTCAGACGGAGAGAGTGCTTGAGTTTTCTCCAGCTCTTCGTGTACATCGTGGAGGATTCTAGTTGAAAGATCATCGACTGAAAGTGGTGTGTATGCTGGACGTATAGTCTTTGAAAACTCCTTAAAATATTTTGATTTCAGCACTGTGAAGGGAAGATCACATCCAATGATGAATTCATTTGCCTAGAGCTTTATCAATTCTTGTCTTCTCGGCCCCAGGAACGTAGTCAACGAACGAATCTAATTTTCTTTTTTGAGTTTTCGTTGCTTTCAGTTGTTTTGAAGGAGAGATGGCAGAGTCTGGGGAAACTACACTTTGCTCTTTTGATGAGTCGTGCGATGTTTTTTTCCAATTTTCATTTTCATCACACGAGTGGGAAACGTGGAAAATCTGTGGACTCCCTGTGGGGCTGGGGCTTGATGAATGTGACTGGGGCTGGCACCTTGCTCTAGAAAGAGAATATAATCGAATTTGACAGGGCGTCTGTCCTGAATCATTAGTGTGCTTTACACCCAGCCCTTCTATTGTACTCACCTGTGAACTTTCAGCCTATGCTCTGAGCAATTCTTCAAATTCTCTTTGCACACAAGACAATATGCTACCGACTTTCCCTCCACTTCTCGGCGTTCACATCCTCCCTCCTTCCAAAATTTGTGAGTTGGCCTGCCACCTCTTTGCGACATTTGATATATTTTGAATCTCAGGATGAGATTCCGAAAGAATACAAAATCTTGTCAGCTACACAGCAACTGAATGAAAACGACCTAACCTCTAAACAGATCGCAGGTGGTACATACTACATTCATCACGAATATAAATATTTTACCTCGGGTATTTTACATCGAGTAATTTACCTTCCCAAGAATCGATGTATAGTACGTGGTATTATACATGTATTATACTCGGTATTTTACGTGAAGTATTTCACGTGCCCAACCTTGATCACAGGCAGTTTAACACGCCGTCTAGGCGTTTCATCAATACTCTCTCTACTTCATGATTGAGACAGGGCTTGTTTTTACCGGCTGTGATAATACTTACAAGTGCCGTTGGTGTTTTAAAGATGGCACTCTCATGTCGATTTTTGTGGAAACTTTGGAGGGTTTCTCAATAAATGTAAAGTCAGGGATAATGTCACACTAATATTTATTGGTGGGGACCGACAGGTGGCGTGATTGTGTATAATTCTTTCATTACAGCAGTTAAAGTTTTTTACGGTATTCTCGAGTTATTTTGCAAACCTCTGTGTCAAATGTATTAAAAAGTTGTTCTCCTCTGTGTGCCCTTTATTTTATGATAATTACCCTCCCCGTTAGTGATCCCCCTGCCCAGAATTCATTAGTGCATTCACAACGGTTTTTTGTTTTGAGGTTGGAAAGTTTTCAATACCATTTGACTTGTCGATATTATACCGGAAAGTGTGACACTTTGTGGTACCGATATTGTACTTTTAAGTGTTTCTCAATTCTCGGATTATGGATAGTAGTGACATCTTTACGCGCCCATCAAAACCTGTGCTGAAACCTGCTAGATTACCGACACCAGGCATCATAAAGTCTGTAACTTCTGACAGTCCTTCAAAACAGTCTCTGAAAACGAGAGGAGTGTCAGTGAGACAAAATTCAATAACACAATACTGCTCCTCCCCAGTTAGCAAGAGACCGGCCTCGCCTACTGGAGATTTTGATGGGCTACTGAGCCCTCTGAAAAAACCCACTGGGGAACCTACACCCCTTTTTCCTCCTACTGGGCAGGAGGGTACAGATTCTAGTGATTACTCCAGTACTGCAACATCTTCTAATAAGACTGTCATCGCAACAAAGAAAATGTCTGACTCATCAAATTCACAGGTTTCTGTGCCGCCTCTTGATGATCCTAGTATTAGTTCTCAGCTTAGAAATTTTATTCTTGTCATGCTTTAAGAAAACGGAGCCCCCTCGAGCAAAATGCTTGAAAAACGAAACGAAACTGCTGAACGTCTCTCACTCCTAGAAGCTCACGTGATGAAGAACAATACTGAGTAAACGAAGGCCATTCAAGAAGTCAAGGCGAGGGTAAACTCAATAGAGACTGATATAGTTCATGCTAAGACTTCACTGGAGGAGAAAATCACTCAAATTACAACTGCACCTTGCTCTTGTGCAGAAAACCATTCTAATAATGAAGCTATTCAAAAGCTGACTGACAAGCTTGAGGCACAGGATGATGAAAGTAGGAAAAACAATATCATTCTTAGGGGCCTCCCTTTACCCAGAGAAGGTTTGAAAGAAGGTGTAACTCAATTCCTAATGGATCACTTTCAATATCAGGGTCTAGTTGTAAATGTCAAGCCTCTTGGTAAGGAGATAAATAACTCAGTCAGCATGGCATCTGTCACTTTGGAGTCAGGGATGCTGAACTTCGCATTCTTCGTAATAAAAAAGTACTCGCCAACCAAAGTAGTACCAATAAATCCGTCTTCATCGACGCGGATCGCACAGATAGGGAGAGAATCTGTATGTCAGGGCTGAGGAAGTTTGCTCGTACGCTTCAGCCTGATGGTAAGGGTGTGTACTTCAGCTTCGATAGAGTAACTGTCAATAAGATTCGATATAAATGGGACATGAATCTGGAAACAGGAGTACCCTCTCCAGGTGGCCCCCGAAATCGTCAGCGGAACTCAATAAATACTGATGTCCAGACTCACACAGCCCAAAAAAACTAGGAGTATCTCGGATCTCCTTCTGGAACTGCTCCGATTTTTTCAGATGGGAGATCCGAGAATTTTGTAAACTGTCGGATATAATTTGTGTCACAGAAACCTGGAGGCTGGAGGGAGCCCTGGGCTCCGTCACCCTGAAACTAGCGGCCGGAGCTAGCGGCCGATAGTTCCGAGGCCAGGGCCAAAACCATGGCTGGACTTTGGGGAGAAAAATATTATTTTAATTATTTTTACTTCTGATTACCATGGTCATGATTGATAGTGATCATTTGTCCTGGTTAATGACAAGTCCAAAGTCCATTAACCAATTAATTAATTGAATATTTAATTCTTCAAATTATTTACAATGATTTTTTTTTTCCTTCCACGATTTCAAATGGTGGCAGGGGAGGGGAAGGGGGGTCTTCTATCATGCCGATGAATCGATATTTAAGTGTTGAAAAAAAATTAAGATATTAAGTAATTAATGAATTGTTATAATTAATATTTTTTTTTAGTTTTTCCTTCTTTTTCTCTCTCCATTCTAAATAATGGGGGAAGGAGGAGGGTTTTTTTTTTATCATCATGACAAATCGATGGATAATGATAACTGACTAATCGATGAAAAATCTCGAGTCTCCATTTGAAACTTTCAAGAGTTTCAAAATAAGATTCGTTAGTTCATTTATTTTCTCTTTTTTCGTTGCAAAATCAAATTGCAATGGTGGGAGGAGGGGTGAGGGGGAGAGGGGTCTTTGAGCATCCGGGTGAATCAGTCAATCAGTGGATAATGATAATCAATTATTCTAGTAATTGTTGTAAATATTTTGAAAATTTTCTATTTTTCACTAAATTTTAAATCTATAGATAAGGATAATCAA